ATGAGCAAAATTCGAGTATGGCAATAGTCTGCTGCAAATGAAATTTCAAATGCTCCCGGTACAGTCATCACATGTACAGGTCAAAACCCTTTTTATGATAAAGATTTACCCAAATTAAATGGACCCATTTGGAAGTGGCATTTAGACAAACTTCACTGCAGGTACGGAGCAGAAGAAAATGCAGAACCGGGTTTGGCTATGATGAAAGGAATGCATTACTCCACGACTCAGACAGCACGAGGTCCATCAACCGTCAACACATTCAGCAACCCCATGTCCACCTAAGAAGAAGCCCAACTCTTGCTTAGCTATAGCCTCAGACTATAACAAACCGAGGCGGTGTCAAAGACAATGTCAAACACTCATTGTATTGGACTCTTAAATGTTTGGTGATGTGTTACAGTGGACAATACCGAACGGATAGACAACCGTGTACCGGTGCGCAAAGACCGGTTATCTGGACTATCAGAGTGTCCACTCTGTGTCCGGTTATGTTGACTATCAGAGTGTCCACTTTGTGTCCGGTTATGTTGACTATCAGAGTGTCCACTCTGTGTCCGGTTATGTGGACTATCAGAGTGTCCACTCTGTGTCCGGTTATGTGGACTATCAGTGTGTCCACTCTGTGTCCGGTTATGTTGACTATCAGAGTGTCCACTCTGTGTCCGGTTATGTTGACTATCAGAGTGTCCGCTCTGTGTCCCCAAGACGAACATGTGCAACTGCGTAAGATGACGTCAAGTTATCATTTTAAAAAATTGATTAAAATTATTTATTAATGAAGTGGTTTACATAAATAAATGGTTTCAAATACTATTTGTAAAAAAACTTTGCCGTTTAGTAACAAAACATAAATATAGTATTAGTTAAAAACAACAAGATAGCTAGATTTAGACCAGCATATGTGTTCTGTTGCTCTCCTAATATGTCCAGACTGATGTAAAGCTATGTTTATGTAATCAGCCTCTTCCATATTTAACGTCTCAATAACTGTAACGTCACAAGATGTTGACGTCTGCTTGACTGGAACTGTAGGTGCAAACGTTTTTCAAACACCGATTTGATTTTTATTTTTTTTTTTTAAATTTAATCCGTGCGTCACGCATGAGGAAAGAAAAAAAGGGGGGGGGAGGGGGGGTGCTTCTTTTTTTTTAAATTAGAACCCTTAATATCGGATCTGTGGCAGTCAGGTTTAAGTTTTAGAAAACTGGTTTAAAACCGGTTTTCATTTAAAAAAAACAACACTCTAGCTATACGCACAGCAGAAGCCATATTTTTACATGTTTTTATAAAGAGGTTTATTGGAAATATATATGTTGAAGTAAGCAACTGTCTAGTCCAGTTCTCAACCTGTGGGTCACGACTCCTTAAGGGGGGGGGGTCGAATGACCCTTACACAGGGATCGCCTAAGACCATCGGAAAACATATTTATAAAGGAGCAGCAAAAATAATTTTGGGGTTGGGGGAATCACCAAAACATGAGGAACTGTGTTAAAGGGTCGCAACATTAGGAAGGTTGAGAACACCTGATCTAGTCTGTACGATTTTACGAAAATACGTGTGTTATTTTTCCGAATGCTATCCCCCAGCCACGACAGGTACATTAGCTAGTTAAATATATAACATGATGGACATTGATTAAATTAAATAACTTAATGGGTCATAATGAAATAATTTTTTTTGTATGCTATCCTGTTATGTGAGATGACTTTAAACAAAAATAAATACAAACAAAACAAAAACCTTGGACTGCACGGAGTTAAAATATTTGTTCATCATCAATGTCCCTAATCATCAATGTCCTTAATCATCAATGTCCTTAATCATCAATGTCCTTAATCATCAATGTCCTTAATCATCAATGTCCTTAATCATCAATGTCCTTAATCATCAATGTCCTTAATCATCAATGTCCTTAATCATCAATGTCCTTAATCATCAATGTCCTTAATCATCAATGTCCTTAATCATCAATGTCCTTAATCATCAATGTCCTTAATCATCAATGTCCTTAATCATCAATGTCCTTAATCATCAATGTCCTTAATCATCAATGTCCTTAATCATCAATGTCCTTACATGGATTTCATCTTGATCTCATTCAAGGAGGGTGGCAACAAGCATCGATCTTAATGTCCTGGTTCTGATCGGGGTCGTTACTCTAAAACAATGACCATTTAAACTTGACTCATGTTTCATTTGGTCAACAAGCGATCTAATGACCATTTATACTTGACTGATGTTTCATTTGGTCAACAAGCGATCTAATGACCATTTATACTTGACTAATGTTTCATTTGGTCAACAAGCGATCTAATGACCATTTATACTTGACTGATGTTTCATTTGGTCAACAAGCGATCTAATGACCATTTATACTTGACTAATGTTTCATTTGGTCAACAAGCGATCTAATGACCATTTATACTTGACTAATGTTTCATTTGGTCAACAAGCGATCTAATGACCATTTATACTTGACTAATGTTTCATTTGGTCAACAAGTGATCTAATGACCATTTATACTTGACTAATGTTTCATTTGACCAAGAAGCGATCTAATGACCATTTATACTCGACTAATGTTTCATTTCTCCAACAAGCGATCGAATGACGATTTATACTTGACTAATGTTTCATTTGACCAACAAGCGATCTAATGACTATTTATACATGACCAACGTTTTATTGGCCAACAAGCGATCTAATGACCCTTTATACTTGACTAATGTTTCATTTGGTCAACAAATGATCTAATGACCATTTATACTTGACTAATGTTTCATTTGGCCAAGAAGCGATCTAATGACCATTTATACTTGACTAATGTTTTATAAGGTCAACATGGACGCCTGTACAAATAGGAAGACATACTACCAAAATGAAAACAACAAGGTAGTCACTGTGTGAGATGTCATCGTGACCTTGGTGTCACTTGGAGAAAGCTTCCAGTCCAAGTCTGCCATCCAGCTGATCGTTAGTTTCTCAATACACCCAGGGTCCTTTAAAAAGCTCAGTATCGTTTGGGTTCTTTAAGAAGCTCAGTATCGTTTGGGTCCTTTAAAAAGCTCAGTATCGTTTGGGTCCTTTAAAAAGCTCAGTATCGTTTGGGTCCTTTAAGAAGCTCAGTATCGTTTGGGTCCTTTCGATAAAATGTAACGCTGGTTTTTAAACTATTTGTGGATAGACTGATGCTAGTAATAATAATATGGATTCCATCAGTGGATTGGTTGAAGGACGCGGATCAACTAAGATGGTTAAGTTGAGAGGTGGAAAGACTGGATTCAAATACGTACAAAGTTATTCGATCGGTGGATTTTTGGAACCATTAGTGGCATTACCGAAACAGAAAATATTTCACAAAGAGCCATTTTTGTCACTTAAAACACACACACACACACACACAAGTAGTGCGTTGAGACCATAGTCACATCGTGGTGATGAGACAATCGCATCGTGTGAACTGAGCTTTAATGTGTTTTTTTTTGAAAATCTTCTCTCAACAGCGTTTCTAAACACGTGCATGCCACACCCCTAACAGACAGACGATGTGTTGGCTGTTGACATGACAACACGTTCACGTAAGAGAAAACGAGATCCAAACATCATAGCGTTTTTATTTTTTTTTCCCTCGACTAGAGAAATTCAAAAAAAAAACAAAAAAACCCCCAAAAACAGCAACATAAAAGTTAACTCATGTTTCATTGGGTTTCATTCGTTAGCAATTTAGTTTTTTTCTTTCTTGCTTGTATTAGCGAAAGAGATTTTCGCAGCCCTTTGACTAATTTTTTTTTTACAAATAACTTGAAACAATCAGAAACTTTTCATCTGATATCTAATGCGTTGCCCTTTTAAAGGTTTAATCAATATGTGATGGGCTTCTTCTCTCTGTCTAAAGCTCAAAACTTGCTGAGCAAAGCTTTCCTCGCTGACATTCAAGTGCACTTAAATATATTATCACACCTAGGTAACTGCAAGCGTGATCTTTTTATTGGTAGCTATAGCTACAGGGGCGTCCGCAATGAGTTTGCCCCGACAGTATCTTTGTAACACCAAAGGACCTTGAAACCAGAATTACATGGCTCAGCTAAAATAGATTTTCAAATTTATTTAGCTGGCCAAGTATTCCAATAATTAAAAAAATTATCAGTTCTTTTATACTATATTTCCATAAATTTGCATTAAATTGTTTTAACATTAAAAAAAATAATGTTTTCCCCCATTTTTAAAAATTAGGATCTTTAGATCCAATATTCTCCTAGAACAATAAGCTCTTTAGATCCAATATTCTCCTAGAGCAATAAGCTCTTTAGATCCAATATTCTCCTAGAACAATAAGCTCTTTAGATCCAATATTCTCCTAGAACAATAAGCTCTTTAGATCCAATATTCTCCTAGAACAATAAGCTCTTTAGATCCAATATTCTCCTAGAACAATAAGCTCTTTAGATCCAATATTCTCCTAGAACAATAAGCTCTTTAAATCCAATATTCTCCTAGAACAATAAGCTTTGCTTTTTTTCTTATTTTTTTTTTTAAAATTCGCTTCTTAAAGATTTTTTGTTTGTTTTGGTAAAAAAATTCATTGTTTATGTCTTTGATTTCAGGAACTTGACAATTTTGAAGTGTCTGCTGCTACACACAATGTCTGCTGATAAATGCCGCTGAGTCTCAAGAGAGCCCATATTGTTCCTCGGTGACCCGTTAAATAAATATGTGCAGTGAAGTGTTCAAATCAGAAGCAGGAACGTGGTGTTGAACCCAAAGCTATAAATTCAACTCAGACGTCAGTAACTCCCAACTTGTTGTCTAAGTAATAAAAGAAGTCGTTTTTAAAAAAAAATGTAAATGTCTTCTTTGCTATTTGAGTTATGATATGAATCAACACGCCCCATAACTCTTGAATATCATTCCACATTAATTTTAAATTTAAAAAAAAAGCATACACCTATGCCTGACTTACCAGTCACCGAGGTAGAGACACTGACATTGATGGTTGGTTGGCTCTATGCGTGACTTACCACCTGCCCCTCGCCGAGAACGAGACACCGAGATAAACCGCTGATGACTTCAGTAACACGTAGAGAGAGAGAGAGACGTACAGATTTGCAACATCGGAGGTAATTTGTCAAATGTTTTATTCGTGTCGCGTCTCTGTAATTTAAGCTGGTGTATGCTATAGTTCTTAACTTGTTTTACGTTTACACGTCACGAAATGACGTATTTCGCAAAGAAAAGACAACCGCTCGTCGAACGCTGGCGTGGAGATGACGGGGGTGGAGATGACGGGGGTGGGGATGACGGTGGGGGGGATGGCGGGGGNAAGTTTTGGCTTTGATTGTACCTATGCATTGTGCACTGGCTATAAAGTTTTGGCTTTGATTGTACCTATGCATTGTGCACTGGCTATAAAGTTTTGGCTTTGATTGTACCTATGCATTGTGCACTGGCTATAAAGTTTTGGCTTTGATTGTACCTATGCATTGTGCACTGGCTATAAAGTTTTGGCTTTGATTGTACCTATGCATTGTGCACTGGCTATAAAGTTTTGGCTTTGATTGTACCTATGCATTGTGCACTGGCTATAAAGTTTTGGCTTTGATTGTACCTATGCATTGTGCACTGGCTATAAAGTTTTGGCTTTGATTGTACCTATGCATTGTGCACTGGCTATAAAGTTTTGGCTTTGATTGTACCTATGCATTGTGCACTGGCTATAAAGTTTTGGCTTTGATTGTACCTATGCATTGTGCACTGGCTATAAAGTTTTGGCTTTGATTGTACCTATGCATTGTGCACTGGCTATAAAGTTTTGGCTTTGATTGTACCTATGCATTGTGCACTGGCTATAAAGTTTTGGCTTTGATTGTACCTATGCATTGTGCACTGGCTATAAAGTTTTGGCTTTGATTGTACCTATGCATTGTGCACTGGCAAAATGCAATTCGATTATGTTAATTCTTTTTCGACGATGCGCGGAGCAATGAGCAACATTGTCTTCAAACGACTGCATAATCCAACCTAAACTCTGCCTTACGTACCAGAGAGCGCCGAATGCCATGTACTTTTTCCGAAAGTCATTTACTTTCGCTGAATTTCATTTACTTTTGCAGAATTTCATTTACTTTTGGAGAATTTCATTTACTTTTGCAGAATTTCATTTACTTTTGCATAATTTCATTTACTTTTGCATAATTTCATTTAATTTTGCATAATTTCATTTACTTTTGCATAATTTCATTTACTTTTGGAGAATCTCATTTACTTTTGTGTGTGGCATATAAGCAATGTTAGCAAGTTATGTTTAACATTTTTTTTTTTTTGAAGTTAAGCCCTCGTTGACAAAGTTAATATCTAAAATGGTTGTGTCCTTTCATATCATGAACGTCGAACGAACAGCTCACTACAGCTGTCATGGTCCAACCGTCAGTCATATTATGTGTGGGACTGAGCATGCTGCTTCTTCCAGGGGTGAGTATCGTAAAAAAAATGAAATGGGTTGCGATCTTTACCAGTATTGACAGCTAAGACCTTCCACTGCGACGTATGAAATTTAAACAACTCGTGGATCGTGTAGAAAATGCGTGATCAAAAGTACACAGCCGACTTTAACCGCAACGTCACACGCGTTAGATGTGAAACTACCTTTATTTTTTAAAAAATGGTATGTGAAACACTCTTATGCGTTTGGACTGATGAACAGCCACCCCCACCCCCCACTTTCACAATCATTGCACAGCTGAACACAAACGTAAAAACGTTGGACTAAATTTAACTGTTTAGTTTTCAAAGTGATTTTTATGATGTGAGCCAGCACTACTGTGTATGACTGCATGTCTTAAGAAGTTATGCTTCGAATAATTTGAATCTTTCAACAGAATATAGATGTTAAATAACTTGTGTTCAAACGAACAGTACCCGTCAACAAGGACACGTGTACAGAAATTTAAAAAAATAGTTAAAACAAAGAGTGTGAAAAAAGGGATAGAATCGCTTGTTCTGAAAATGTTGTTCTGTTGCACAAATTGTCTCTTAAAGTGTTAGCACCAGAGACTCATTCGAAGGAATTTAGTTATTTGAATACCACTGATATGAAATAAATATTTACATCTAACTAAATAATCTAACCATAATAATAATAATAATAAAGTTCATTTCAAAAACACGCTTCATCCCCAAAGGCTCGAAGCGCGGTACAAAGTCAACAAAAAACAAATCTATAATTTACCACATTTAAAACAAACGCAACACTACAAAAACTAACATAGCGATGCTCCTCATCTCATCAAGGTGATGTGCGAAGAGTGTCCGAGCTGTGGGGACAATGCCGAGTGTACAGATGGCGTCTGCTCCTGTCCAGACGGACTAATCGGGAATCCCCGTGTGCACTGTTACACTAACTGGACGAAGATTTGTACGTGAGTACACGAATAGGTGCAGTGGAAAACACGAGTGAGTACACGAATTGGTGTAGTGGAAAACACGAGTGAGTAGGTTTCAATCTATCCATCAAACCAGTAAATGGAGCTGTGTTGAAAATGAAACAAAAAGCTTTTTAGCCTTCCACAAGGCATGATATGGATGATAGATCTGCAGCCAAAACTCTTGGTACAAGTTCTTAAGCATTGGTTTCCTCAATAAAATATTTGGAAAGCTGAATTACACCAGTGTTCACTACATTAGCAATAACTACATTAAAGACTCCCTACATTCAACATTCACTACATTCAACATTCACTACATTAAAAAAACTCACTACATTCAGCATTCACCACATTCTGCATTCACTACATTCAGCAATTCACTACATTCAGCATTCATTACTTTAAGCATTCACTACATTAAGCATTCATTACATTCAGGATTCAACACATTCAGCATTCACTACATTCAGCATTCATTACTTTCAGCATTCACTACATTCAGCATCCACTACATTCAGCATGAATTACATTCAGCATCTACTACATTCAGCATTCACTACAGTCAGCATTCACTGCATTCAGCATTCACTACATTCAGCACCCACTACATTCAGCATTCATTACATTCAGCATTCACTACATTCAGCATTCACCACATTCAGCATTCACTACATTCAGCATTCACTATATTCAGCACCCACTACATTCAACATTAACTCCATGTAGCACCCACTAAACCCGCTTTTAAATTTTAAGCCTTAGACCATCGGAAAACACATTTTTTTTATTAAGTAGCACCGAAAATAATTTTATGGTTGGTGGTCACAACAACACATGAGGAACATGGGTCGCGGCATTAGGAAGGTTGAGAACCACTGGTCTAGATCAACCTCTCATCCAGACATGTATTTATGTAGCATGCGTAAAAAATATTTAACTTCAAGTGATCTCAAAACACAACTCTTAAAACTCCATCAAATTACCGTTTCCAACCGATGCTTTTGATGAAATAACGTGTCTCTTAACTTTACACTACGGCTATCCCAGCGGCGCCCCCCCCCCAACCCAAAAACAAACTAAAAAAAAAAACGTATAAAATCGTATCCGGAAATTTGATCGAAAAAAATTTTAATTTGATCGAAAGAAATTTCGTCGACGGTAAATTGATCGACGGTAATTTGATCGAACGGAAATATGGTCGAATCTTTTTTTCCGTTTTTACGTTTAAATTTTGCTTCAAATGTCTTTTTGAACGCATTATTTTGTTTTACTATATAGTATAGTGCGTTCAAAAAGAAATTTGACGAAAATTTTAACGTGTGAACTGAAAAAAAGATTCGACCAAATTTCCTGTCGATCAAATTACCGTCGATCAATTTACCGTCGACGAAATTTCTTTCGATCAAATTTCCGGTAACCGTATAGAATTACCCCGGGTAATTTCACCGCCCCTCCGGCGTGGTACATACAATCACATTAAAGAAACGAATTGTCTAGACTCTAGAAGAAGCTTACTGTCTTAACTACAATGATCTAAGAAGCTTACTGTCTTAACTACAATGATCTAAGAAGCTTACTGTCTTAACTACCATGATCTAAGAAGCTTACTGTCTTAACTACAATGATCTAAGAAGCTTACTGTCTTAACTACAATGATCTAAGAAGCTTACTGTCTTAACTACAATGATCTAAGAAGCTTACTGTCTTAACTACAATGATCTAGAAGAAGCTTACTGTCTTAACTACAATGATCTAAGAAGCTTACTGTCTTAACTACCATGATCTAGAAGAACCTTACTGTCTTAACTACAATGATCTAAGAAGCTTACTGTCTTAACTACAATGATCTAAGAAGCTTACTGTCTTAACTACAATGATCTAAGAAGCTTACTGTCTGAACTACAAGGATCTAAGAAGCTTACTGTCTTAACTACAATGATCTAAGAAGCTTACTGTCTTAACTACAATGATCTAAGAAGCTTACTGTCTTAACTACAATGGTCTAAGAAGCTTACTGTCTTAACTACCATGATCTAGAAGAACCTTACTGTCTTAACTACAATGATCTGAGAAGCTTACTGTCTTAACTACAATGATCTAAGAAGCTTACTGTCTGAACTACAATGATCTAGAAGAAGCTTACTGTCTTAACTACAATGATCTAAGAAGCTTACTGTCTTAACTACCATGATCTAGAAGAACCTTACTGTCTTAACTACTATGATCTAAGAAGCTTACTGTCTTAACTGCAATGATCTAAGAAGCTTACTGTCTTAACTACAATGGTCTAAGAAGCTTACTGTCTTAACTACTATGATCTAAGAAGCTTACTGTCTTAACTGCAATGGTCTAAGAAGCTTACTGTCTTAACTACAATGATCTAAGAAGCTTATTGTCTTAACTACAATGATCTTGAAGACAAACTCATGCCTACTGCTCCACAGACTGACCAGCGATCCACTGATGCTGACGTTTAGCGCGGAAAAGATCCACGTGACCATCGTTGGTGCTACACGATTGGCTGACCTGACCGTGACGAGGCTGATCAAGTCTCTTAGCCAAAAGTGCAAGCTGGTTGTGTGGGCGCTGACAGAGCGGATAAGAGGGAAACTCTTCATCGACGGCATGAAGGTAATTCAGACACAAACTTGTCAAGGAAATCTGGCAATAGCATGATGAAAGAGACACACAGCCCAGACCTAAGATGTTCTGATGTCTGAGAATGGCGTCCGGATGTTAGATGAGAGTCAAACACACTGGTACTGGTATATGTTCAGCCAGGGGCGTCACCAGGGTTTGTGTCATCTGTTGTGGTCCGCACCCCCTAGTGACGCCACTGTGTAAAGCCAATGTCGTGTCATCTAGGACAGGCCTGAGCAACTCAAAATGTTAGGTGGGCCTTGATGCATTATGAAGAACTTGTGCGGGACGAAAGGAAATAGGACAGAAGGGGCAGCTATTAAGAAAATAATAAAAAGTAAAGAATATTTCATTACTTCGCGGGCCGCATAGCTGGTGCTGGCGGGCCGTATATTGTGCAGGTCTGATCTAGGATACACATACACACAGTGGTGTAGTCGGTTTTGGAAGCAGGGCAGCTGTAGCGTCTGTCAGTTCTATTTTCTATTTTTGGAAAGGTCTTGACTTTTTTTTTTAAAATACGAAAATAAAAAACCTGTCGCCACCACCGGTTTTACTTGGACACACCAATTGTGCACGACACAGTTAAGCAATTCAATGATGGACGTAATCATTTTAGATTAAGTTTATGACTTAAAAAAAAAAGTTAAACTGAAAAATGCGTCCCCAAAGCCAGGTGAACAGCCAAGGTCCCACGTTCAGACTGTTCCATTACCACATTAGGACGTCGCAACTTTGTGTGTGTGTGTGGTTTTTTGTTTAGACTTAAATGGTCCTAGAGATATTTGCTCATAACTGCCTGAATGAGATCAAATATCAATACAGTTTTCAAGGCTTTCTCTCTACTCACATTTCCATCTGGTGGATCTTTTTTTTTAAATTTTTTTTTTGACGCACCTGATTCTTTGAGTATTGAGTACATCTCGTGCAGTGCTCACCTGGTGACGGGTGAAACAGAAAACTGGGTCTGTATCGAAGGCAGTTTGACACTGTCGCTTAAATGATCGTGCTTGACCGCGTCTGCTTCGTTGAGTGAACGTGTGGGTGGGTGAGCTCAGATCTACTGTTTTAGTTTTATGCCTAGGACTAGGTCAAGAGTTGATTCACTTGAAATGGGATTTTGTATGCATTCGATGTTTAAAAAAAATGTAATATTTCCACGTTTTTCGATAATTTGAAGAGTACAAAATTTCATACTTAAAACTGGAAAAAAAAAAAAATATTAAAATGTTTTTTCTATCTTAAGAAGACGTAAAATCAAAGACAAAATTTCATACTTAAAACTGGAAAAAAAAAAAAAAAAATATTAAAATGTTTTTTCTATCTTAAGAAGACGTTAAATCAAAGACGAGTTGAAATGCATAATTAAATATTAGAAACTAATGAAACATTTCTTTTAAAATGCAACACTCGAAGAAAGTCTGTCCGGAAAATATTTTCAAAAATTAATAAAAAAATAAAACATATTTAAATTTCTTCTACATTGAATTCGGATCCCTTTGCTTGATAGATTGCTCATGTACACTCTAGCACACTCTGCATTTGAAGAGATTTTAAAATTATTTTCTACTTTTTAGTGCGTTTTATCTCGTCTGTGACAGAAAGCCGTGTTGTTAGAAAGATTTGTTTGAATATTTTGTTTTTGTTACAAATCTTCCCACATTTTGATGGATACAGACACAAAGTTACAGACCGTGGGGTTCAGAAGGAGATAATGAACCTGTCTTATCGTTGGAACGTCCCTTAAGGGTGATACTTTCAGTGGGGTCTGATGCTGGGTATGTGGGGGGTGGGCCGGGGGCGGTACTTTTTATATTTATATTGGAGGCGGCATTTTCGGCATACGGCAGGGAGATTTTCGTTAGAAGGGGGGGGGTGTAAAATTCTCGGTCCATTAACCCTAGCCACGCCACTGGGTGCATGACTTCCCTTACACAACCACTCCTCCTTATATTACGCCTACGAATTCAAAAAATTTTTTTATATCTCTAATTACTTCTTCATATGATTCCATTTAAATATTATTTCCATTAAAAAAGATCAAATTCACAAGAGTCGAGGACAGCGGGGAAAGCGCAGTCACTGAATTGCTTGTCAAGTCTTCAGTTGAAGATGGTAGGTGAACTGAAGGTGGATGCTAGATGGATGGTAAGGGGATGGTAGAAGGATGGTAGGTGGATGGTAGGTGGGTGGTAGAAGGATGGTATGTGGATGGTTGATGGATGGTTGAAAGATGGTAGGTGGATGGTATTAGAATGGTAGCTGGATGGTAGAAGGAGTGTAGGTGGATTGTTGGCAGATGATCTGTGATGGTAGTTGGATGGTAGGAAACGGTAGGTAAATGGTTGATGAATGAGTAGGATGATTGATTTCACTGAATGATGGTAAGTGAATATTAGGTGCTTTGTAGGTGGAATGAGTTGAAATATTGAAGGTAAATTGAGAACATTACGTGGCTACATTTCAAACTTAAGGGGTGGCCAGGTAGGCGTGGCGAGGTAGGCGTGGCAAGGTAGGCGTGGCAAGGTAGGCGTGGCAAGGTAGGCGTGGCCCAAAGGCACTGATATTATTTCAATATTTAGAACATGTCTGTTTTTCGATTTTTAAAGGCTGGATATGAAAGTAAATAGCTGACTAGTTAGGAGCGCCAAAATGGGCTTCGATATTATTTTATTGATAAAAATAATGGGTTTGAGAGTTGAAAAAAAAGAAAGGGAGGCGCTTTAAAATGAATCTTGTCCCCGGGCGCCAAACACTCTGGTTATGCCTCTGGGAGACAAACAAAAAATCCTCCTCAAATCAAGATAAGCACACAGTTCTCTAACATTCTTCTTTACTAGGACTGGTTCATACGAAAGTTCACACATTTAATACTACTGATGAAGATGGTTAGGTCACCAATATTCCCATTACAGGAATAGCCAGTTGGGATTTCATCCAGCAGTTCACAAATATTCCCCATTACAGCATTAGTCAGTTGGGATTTCATCCAGCAGATCACCAATATTCCCCATTACAGGAATAGTCAGTTGGGATTTCATCCAGCAGTTCACCAATATTCCCCATTACAGGAATAGTCAGTTGGGATTTCACAATACAGGAGACGAGCAATGCGAATTTCCAAAGCTGTTGTCGCTTTGACGAAGCTATTGGCTCTGGATCTTGCAGTGTTGATTACGGTGTTGGCGCAAACAACTTCTACATCTTCAACTTCAGCTGCTGCAACATCTCAGTGGGCATCAGGCCACCGATTCCTGGCAGCAATTCAACCCCAGGTAGGTCAGGTGTTAGTTAGTTCGTCCATCGAAAATCAATCTAGACCATTTTTTTCAAACCTTCGGATTCGTGGAGAGGTCGATTCTGTGTGTGGGTGCGCAGATGGCTCTCTCTCTCTCTCTCTCTGTGGGTGCGCAGATGACTGACAAGGCCGATTCTCTCTGTGGGTGCGCAGATGACTGACGAGGATGATTATGACCCGGAATGCTCTTGAGCTTGCAGGGAAGGGCTGGGACATCTCAAGGTGCAAAGTTAACCAGGGCTTCAATGTTTAGTCAGGTTCAGCGATGTCAGATCTTTACTCGAGGAGTCTGATTACAAAAGCCTTTATTATTATAAAGTCATGTACGTTTGGTTATTTCTTCAGCACGACCACTCATTTCATGTATTTTCATCGCTGAGTAAATATACCACAGCGGCTATTACGATGAGGACTCCACCAAAAATTATAGCCACTAAAAGACGATCGGAGTGCATCCTAAAAAATTACAGTGCCCAGAAATATGCGCTCAAGACAACTGCGGACACCAAAAATTCCGCACAAGGACAATTGCGAACATTGAAAATTGCGGACAGACATAATTGCGCAAAATATCGACATTTTATTTGAAGCCACATTTTTTAAGATTTAAAATTGTTCAGTTGCCTATTAGCATAAAAGTTAAGTTGGGAACACAATAAATATTCAACCAAATCTATTGTAACGTAGAGTATAAATAGATTGGTTCCTTATTATGTGAGCGATGTATTATTGACACATGTGTGAATTCTTTCCATGCTTCCTTGGTTTGTTCCTATTTTTCCAGCTAGCTTTTTTTCCGTCTTTTCTATCGTTCTTATACCGTTCAGTAATCTTATAAATTTGTGAAGAATGTTCCGAGAAGATCATTTGGGATCGCCTGTGATGCGTGTTGTTATTATTATTGTATCCCTTCGCTCTTCATCCCGCAGCGATATGGGTTGACGTACCCTCCCCCAATGTCACCTACGAAGACTGGGAGCCAGGGCTCGAGCCCATCTGCCTGAGCCACGACTCCTACGACATCGACTCCGTGGTCAACGAAACGCAACTCGGTGATCCCTGGGACGCCATGAGTTACCTGTCCCTCACCAACATCGGCGACCTCGAGTACGACGGGGTGCCCAACAACTTCACCCAGCTGGCGCAGGCCCTGAGGGGCTGCAACAAGCTTGCCACCCTGGCCTTCTACGATGACGCCGTGTTCGCCCTCGACACGCCGCCTTTCATCAACTGCATTTCCACTTCAACGACAGATCAGGACGGGCTGGTCGAGTTCCTGCTGCTCGTCCTGGACTGGTTCTGTGTTGGGGATTCGATCAGCTGCGCCGCAGCGAAAGGACTGGTCAGCACGAAATGCCAGGGCGTGGCTAACCAAAATCCCAGAGTCCAGGCCTTTTTAGGTCGGTCGTGTTCACGCAATTTCGATACATAGTTGTACCTACAGTGGGCACTAACGTAGGGAACTAACCCAGGGCACTAAACAAGGGCACCGGGGTATCGGGAGTATATTGATATGACATATTATTATTATAAAATGACTTAACACTTTCACCATGACATTGGACATAAATAACGAGTACATTTTAACAACCACTTTAGATGTTACTTAAAAAAAAAGGACAGCACGGATTCTCATAGCAGAGGGGCTTCATCTAATATACAGAAAGGGGCTTCATCTAATATACAGAAAGGGGCTTCATCTAATATACAGTTGGCAGCGTTTTTTGCTAGACTTTCATTTTGAATATCAAGAACAGAGAGGATAATGTGACCTTCTATTCCCAGCATTCAAATTTGCCTTAATTACACACTCAGTTGGTAATCTCTACAATTAGTATTGTCAGTAAAGGGTTTAGTGTCCGCCCCCCCCCCCGGAAGTGACGCCACACTACTTTGGATCCCTCTTCCTCCAACGCCACAAATTTGTCACATAATTTAAACACCCTTATAATTCATCTTCAGAATTTTTTTTTTCGGAAAAAAAGTCACATTTTTATTGATGTCCCCCTTATAAGTTTGTAAATGATTATCTAGCAAGTTAGACGTATTTAGCTCTAGTGAGATTAGTTGTGGTGCAACAAGAAGACATCGACTGTCCTAACCACTCTGAAAGATGAAACTTTAACTAAATATTTTATTTTTGAAAAACAGCAACAATACAATACAACAAAACAAACCAATAAATCCATCAATAAAAGTCTAACCCAGACTGTGTGTAACGGCTCTTCCTTTGATCTGTTGCAAATGGTCAAGTCTAACCCAGACTGTGTGTAACGGCTCTTCCTTTGATCTGTTGCAAATGGTCAAGTCTAACCCAGACTGTGTGTAACGGCTCTTCCTTTGATCTGTTGCAAATGGTCGTAGTTTCATTCAGACTGTGTGTAACGGCTCTTCCTTTGATCTGTTGCAAATGGTGGTAGTCTAACCCAGAATGTGTGTAACGGCTCTTCCTTTGATCTGTTGCAAATGGTCGTAGTATTATTGAGGGGTATCAGGAGCTTTTGAAAAGCATCTTTAAAAAAAAAAAAGTTCATATTGGGCAACTAATAACAGGCTTATTGAATTGAACTGAAAGCAGACACACTTGAAGTGAACTAATAGCAGACAAATTTGAAGTGAACTAATAGCAGACACACTTGAAGTGAACTAATAGACCAATTTGAAGTGAACTAATAGACCAATTTGAAGTGAACTAATAGACATTTTTGAAGTAAAATAATAGCGGAAATACTTAAAGTGAATTAATAGCAGACACATTTGAAGTGAACTAGTGGCAGACACATTTGAAGTGAACTAGTGGCAGACACTTTTGAAGTGAACAGACATATTTTTAAGTGCAATAAATCTTTTGAGAAATGTTTCTTGTCTTTTTTTTTGAATAATTAAGAATATGAGTAAAGCATCTGTTGAAAGAATATGAGTAAAGCACCTGTTGAAAGAATATGAGTAAAGCACCAGTTGAAAGAATATGAGTAAAGCACCAGTTGAAAGAATATGAGTAAAGCACCAGTTGAAAGAATATGAGTAAAGCACCTGTTGAAAGAATATGAGTAAAGCACCTGTTGAAAGAATATGAGTAAAGCACCTGTTGAAAGAATATGTGTAAAGCACCTGTTTGTGAAAGATCATAATTGCAATTACAGAAGATTCTATGGTCTTATTGCAATGAATTTCTTCAATGTAAGAGTTCAAGAAAAATAACCATGAATCTAAATGTACCAATAAATTATAATGTTAAAGTTAGGAGGGCCCTAAGAGTAATTCAGAGCTTCCAGGTGCCATAAACTTTTAGTGCTCTATTACAACACATTATTCCAATTTATTCAAGACACAGAAACATACATGACACACTTCCAGACCAGAGCAAATCTAAGCAACAAGCTAAATTTTTAATGAACATGACTTAGTTTATTTAATCTCCAGCAAGAAGGAGTTTCTGGCAAAGCAATAAATACATCATTTAGAAAGAGGAAAAAAAAAGTTACATTTCTAAGTGGCAGTGGGCTTGCTCTATACTGAAATATACATTTATAAAGCTATGCACTCATCAAATATGCACATAAAATTTAAATGCATTCTAAAAAAATTAAAAAATGATTTATATTAATTTTGTAATTTCTCAACTTCATTCAAAAAAAAAAGAAAAAAAAAAAAAAAGAGTCTTTTTAACAATAAAATAACTGTTGAAAACGTTATTATTTTTCTTAATTTATAAAAAACCAAAGATGTTACCTTTTAGTAGCTTGTTTATTATAAAATTTTAATTCGGCCCGTTTCACCTTCATGATGAACTTACTTCATCAGGGGAATAAAATGAATGAAATCAATGATACCTTTTTTAAATGTAACAATTTCATTGCTTCTTTAACTGAAAAACAGCAACATATTTAATACACAACAATGTTACATGGCATCACATTTTACAAAGAAAATAATGATTACACTGATGTGAACAATCCACATACAACTACAGCATGGAAAGACAAATTAAAAAATATCTATCTTCTTACTGGATCTGGTTCAAATCATCCCATACAACATTTGACCAAAAAATAAATAAATAGTTGGCAGCACTGAAGTCTGATTTTGTTATCTTTAATTTCACTGGCCTATGTGTAATGACTTCCAATAACAGCCCAAGTCACATCAGCATTGACTTTTAAAATTAAAGCAAAGCGGCCATTTTGACAAGAGCAGTTTTAGTTCAGAAATCATAATCACGCATAACAAGGATTGCATAAGGCTATACGGCAACGCAGATATTTGCAGCCATTTTAACCTTGTGTGGCTCTCAAGACGTGTACTAAATGATGCTCCAAAGTGATGTATGTCCACTCATCGGGTTGTTACTGAAGCCGATGCTGGCCAACCGTGGGTGGTTCATTAATTTGCTTGTTGCCTATAGCCTTATTTTAAGATAAAATATTTGAAAAAAATCCATGGGCAATTTTTTTAGAACATGGAAATCACAATTTTTCAAAACATGGAGATCGGTAAATCACTTAACGCAAATGTTATTTTATCTGAAGGGAGGGAAACTGTTGCAAAAAGCGTAACAATTGTAATCAGGATCAACCCTTTTATAATTAACATCCATCTTTGAATGAACCAAAAAATAGTGGTATTTAACTTCTATAAAATAAATCTTAAAATTGCCCATACAGATTGTCACTTATGAACTTGCATTACCAAATTTGCTGTGCCAATAACAAATTTGAAAAAAAAATTAATATCATTTGTACTGAAATGACCACAGTCTTCCCTCAAATAAAATGCTAAAATTGACTGACAGCCATAAACAGGCCAGCACTTTACAAAAATTTCAAACAATGCACCATTAAGATGCGGTTTTCATCACATGTGACCAAACTTTACAGAAAAAGAAAATTCTACATATGTTATAAATAAAAATACATTTTAAACAAGTCACAATGGCTTTTCAGTTATGTTTGATTTGGTTTACCATACCACTATCACATTCAAAATAAAATGAAATAATAATAATATCACATCAAATCCATTTGGTAACTGTTTGAACAAGCAATGAATAATTATCTGTCATTGCTGTGTATTATTTCTTGCAGCTGTAAAAGAAATGTTTGGAATTTTTTTTTTTTCTTTTTTTTTTTTAAGAGTTCCGGTACTGTTTAGAGAAAAAGTGACACTTGTTTTAAAAAAATATTGTTTTGATCATATGTTCATTAGCCCACATAGAATTTTTTTTTTTATTTTTAAAAAAAATGTTTGGAATTTTTTTTTTTTCTTTTTTTTTTTTAAGAGTACCGGTACTGTTTAGAGAAAAAGAGACACATGTTTTAAAAAAATATTGTTTTGATCATCTGTTCATTAGCCCACATAGAATTTTTTTTTTCAATTTCACATAGGAAAATAACATAACAATGATTTTACCTTATCAATAAATTAACCCTTGCCGCCCCCCCCTCCCCCCCTTTTTTTTGTTGTTTGTTTTGTTTTGAGCCACCGGGTAAGCATGTAATGATCTATTGATAATTTATTATTTTTTAAGAAATAGAATTTGATCTGGAATAATACAATCAGGCAAAATAATAAATCCTGAGATTTATTATCATCATAAGTTTCAACAAAAAGAAAAAACATATGAAGTAGTCAGTGATTCTTAAAAAGATGATAAGAGGAAACATTTTGACATTAAATTTGTATACTTACTTCAAGTGAGATCTTCTTAAGCACTTAAAAATACAGTTGGGTAAAGTGAATTTCAATGATTAGATCAACTACTTGAGAACCTTTGAGAGGGAAACACATATTAATGGTGGATTGTAACAGATAAGTTCATTGCTTTTGAAAATAAAATAGAAATAAAACATGATTGTCATTACTTTACAATATAATTAATAAAGGTTTCAAATATATACATGAATCAGGCAAACCAATTTTAATATAACAAGCAATAAAGATGCAACATCATCAACTCCAATCTTAGAGTCTAGTCAAGATGGTATCAACTTAATAATATAGTATTATAATTTATATTTATTGACAAATTTATAGCTATTAAAAATTCAACTTTCTCCCATCTCACCATCTGATCAGACCACTGCTCAGCGGGATTAAATCTTAAATCTTTATATTATACAGTTGGTGAATATAAAAGAATGAACAAAAAATAACAACAAAGATAAAAAAAAGCATAAAGGGATTTCAGTCTTTAGAAGATGAATTTAGCTTTGATAATAAACACAAGTATTGAGAGATAAACTATTACATGTCATGAAGTGAGTTGAAGGTATATTAAAGACAAAACATCATTTCACACTTAGGCTTTTTGTTAATGTGTTTTGTCTCCTATCAAGGTGCACCTTACTTCAGTGCACATTACTTCAGTGCACCTTACTTCAGTACACCTTTCTTCAATACACCTATAGGGAGGGAGGGGGTGACAATTTGTTTCACCCCAAACACCTTAAGAACTTCAAGTAACTACAGTATCTGGTATCTGGCCAGCAGAACTTTTAGAAAGCTCTTCCTTCTGGAAGAGGGCGGGTGCAAGGTGTTCTGTCCTCCTCGACACAGCCTGGTGGATGTTACAAAGCACAGAGAATAGTGTCTGTAGTGTTTGTAGCAAAATTCATGCACCGAACCAGGACTTAATTTTTTAAAAGCGTTATTTTAATTTAGTAGCAATGCAAAGTTTCAGTTAAACACAGTTTTAAAAAATTTTAAATTTTTTTTTAACTAAAGCAACCCAATTTAAAAGCAGTCTCATTGTAAGGAAATGCAGGTAATTTGACACACTACCAATGCTAATCAAAATAAGAATTTATCTGGATTTTCCTAACTGGTTTACTTCATGTCTGTAAGGATCACACAAAATTTTGTTCATCCCACCAGAATAAGCTGCTTATGCAAACACTGTGCAAAGGAAATCTAGTCCCTT